AGCGGAAAGCTTTCTTAACTTTTTTGAAGTGTTCCGTCCTGCCGTACAGTCATGTGAGAGGACTTGCCAAATGTGAATTAAAAAATACACTTCGAGATTTACTGTGATATATGTTCATACCTTGTAAAGGAGCAAAATAATTTTAAATAATTGTATCTGAACATTGGAAGTAGGGTTCAAATTGCACTTATTCCTTGAAGAATTCCTTGGGGGCCTTTGTCTATTTGTTTGTTTTAATTTTTTCCAGCTGTATCCTCAAAAGAAAATATGTGTATTTTATCAGAAGAACCTTCTGCCAGTCTTCAAGCTAGGCAGATAGGGAGGGCATTTGAATTGGTTTATTAAAGTCATTGCTACATTTATGGATCTAAATGCACATATGTGCAAGGCTAAGGCTTTCTTTTCTTTATCAACCAGACTCTTTAAAAGATACATTAGATCTTCTCGTGATGATTTACATGTGTTCCTTTATTCGATTGTTTGTGCTCCAGTCACCTTCATGCTCAATACGTAGGCATGCGAGGGAAACAGTGTCCCAAACCCTTTCTGTTCTTAGCTGCCCTGTTAAAATGGAGTGTTTTGTTACTGCACTTTTTTTTTACCCCCCAGCGTAGCACATTATTCCTTTTCTGCCTTGTCTTGCTAACCGAAATACCTGTATTGCTGCCCTGAGTGGAGTTGGATGTCAGAGCGTATTTACACCAGTGCAATGGCTGGATCTTTAAGGACGTGTTTTCCTGATACCAGTCGCTTGGCGCTATTTTCTCTGCTCGGCAAATTCCTTAGCTCCATTTAGTTGCATCAGTTGAGTGCCCAAGGACAGAATCTGCTGTTTCTTTGAGATACTTGGTAAAACAGGTGCCAGTGATGTTTCAGACTCCTTCCTCACTACACAAATTACGTCTCTTTTCCTAGGATTAGTGTACCTCATACCTGTTGGCCACTCAGTTTATTTTTGGTGCTTTGATTGTGCTTCTCTGCTGCTTTGATGGAAGGTGAAGATAAACTTCTGGGACGATAGCACAGCTCCTTCTTCTTGTTAGTAGTAGTGGCTTTGTTTGGGTTTCAGATGAAAAAATAATTGGCAATAGAAAAGGTAATATTACAGAAAGAAAAGAAAGCTCTTGGGATTTCAGGACCAGCTTTACCAAGTGGTAGGTTCACCACGGGCTCCCCTTGGTGAAGAGATGGAGCATCATTTAGTTTGGGAGGATGATTCTGTCTGGGCACATGGTGCCCCTGCCTGCTTGGCGTGGCTGCTCGAAAGGCGGATTGTCTGCTGGCAAGTCTCTCTTTCCTGTGTGTGGAGGGTGGATGGGATTCCTTTTTATATGCCCATCCTTACTTCCTCGGCTTTTTTGTCTGATGGTAACTACTACTCGATAGAAAGCTAGGGTCTTTCAGATTCAGGGCTAAGGACAGATGATTTGAGAAGGAAAATACATCTTTTACTTCACTGCACCGTGTATTTGGCTTAAGTGACCGTATCAGCTCCAGACACACAGTCAGATTCTTCAGCAAGTTTTCATCTTTCTCCCCAGTGACCCAAGAAGCCTTCTGGTTCTGTTTCTGTCAAGAACATACTGACTGCCAAAACACACATATTCTTGAGTCGTCTGAGAACTCAGATTACAGGGGTCCGTGGTTGCTTTCAGGATATCAGAGCTTCAAGGTTCTGGCCAGCCTAGAGACATACGAGCCTATCAGCGCTCTCCGATTTAATGCTTTCCCTGTCCAAATTTTGCAGTGAGAGGTGATGTTCTTAAAGATGTGCAAGCTTGTTTGCCACAGAAATCAGACAGCCAGATCTCTGAGGTGGAATCGCATAGATCTTTTTTTAATAGCGTGTCCCTGAGGAAAGCTTAGAAAGGCAGATTTCATTTAAATAAAAAAAAAAATAGGGTATTTAACTTTTTAACTAGGAGGAAGCACGTAGCATCAAGGAGAGACAGCAGAAATGAAAGGTTTATACACAGGGGTCTTGCTGCTTTCTGATTATTCTTGTAGCCAGCCCTCCCAGACCACAGCTGCCTTCTGATCTGGGCTTTTAAGTTTTTAAAGGGGAAGATGAAGATTATTTCCCTGTTACTCCCAATTCCCCAGCATTCTGAAGTAAGGCATAAATCTTTGTAGATGTAGATGTACTTACCAGACTGGTTACACACTTGCTTTTTCATCTTTCTATGGAGATCGGTTTCCTAATAACCGTTCCTCCTACAGGGAGAATGGTGAAGTTCTGGACAATTTGGGGTTTTGTAGAGATGATGATGGCCTCTTCCAAAGTGGTGCCTAAGTGGCACTTTCTATCAAAAGACTTGCCTCCCAGTTCTTTAAATGTAGCTCGTCTGTGATAGAAACTCATATCAGGGCTCTGTTTTTCTTGATGTATTCTACACACGGATGTATTCTGCACACAGACCCTTTTGGAAGTCTGAAGTGCTTGTCTGTTGTTGAAAGATTAAAACATTCAGCCATTTCTGAGTGGCAGTTTTCTCAATATGGGTAACGAGCTGCGGCAATATTCAACAGGAAGCCGTAAAGATGGATCCTTCTTTTGTGGGTGATACCGGGAACATCACAGAGAAAAGTTCATAGCGTGGAGCAAAGCTCCCTCCAAACCTCTGCACCAAGCACTGTCGTCTCCGGCACTGTGAAGAGTGATGTGATTCTCCACCACTGAGTTGCTTTGAAAGAGCGTTAGTGATATCTTCAGCTGCCTGGGGTTAACCACGGAGCGCGTGTACTTGGGAGCTGTCACTCAGAGAAGTTGCTTCCCAGCTGATGAAGTCCTTTGAAGTAGGAATTCCATGTGCGTTCCCTTCTTACTTGCCGTTGAGGTTTTTCAAAATTGGCTCTTTGCCTTGGACGCCAGCGTGCTGAACATGAGGGAGAGCGGGACTTGAGCCCAAAGGGGAAAAATTATCCAGCCTTAAGGAAGTGTCTGTACCTGTTGTGTGAATTTGCACACAGTCTAAACTTCTGTGGCAACGCTTAAATATTTCATGTGGAAATTCTCCAGGAGGAATAAATAAGTAGAGGAATCCCCAAATGAAATTCCTTGGTTTCTTGTTAAGCAGCAGGAGGAATGGATAATGGCTTTAGTTGCGTTTGACCTTTAAAATATGTAACTTCCAATTGGACATCTTTGCAGCGGACAGCAGAGAAGATAATTCCGTCTGCCTTAAAGAATCTGTGATAATTTAGCCTGCAGGGAAAGGCTATTAAAAACATTTAATACGTTCTCCAAGATGAGCACTGCACATTGATTGCCAGTTGTTTGTGAAGGCTCTTTGCTCTTACAGTTAATTATCGTTGGAAAACTTTGGTTTGGTTTAAGATCAAATGAATGAAACTGTAGGGTTCGTAGTCCCCAGGTTAAGCCAGTTGTAGACCAGAAATTGCTACCAGCTGTCATTCTACTTCTGCTTGCATCAGTTATTACAGCGCTTGTTTGTAAATGTGGAAGTTTAGTAATTAAGCTTGCTGGCATATTCAGGTCGGTGAATAGGGCAGATAATTTGGAGGATAATAAGCAAAAAGAAGCCTTTAATGCTCATGCTTCAAGGGAAAGCAGTCCCATACGCTTGTAAAATCCTCCAAAGAGGACTTAAAATGCCTGTGACGCACTTTATACCTGAGGATTCGAGCAGTTATCCTTTCGACAACTCGTCGTCGCTTCACCTGAACCTTTTTTTTTCCAGCAGATTGCCAAACTGAGGCAGCAGCTTCAGCGCAGTAAGCAGAGCAGTCGTCACAGTAAAGAGAAGGAACGTCAGTCACCTCTCCATGGCAACCACATAGCAATCAGTCAGACTCAGGTAAGTAGATGGTTGCTTCTATTAACAGCCTCCCACCTTATCAGGGTTGAGCGAATAGCCACCTTTTTCTTCCCGTCTTCCTTCTGTTTGTTTTCTTATGTATCCACTGAAATGCTTCACAACCCGATACCGTTGCATCTTCCCTGAGATTTATCTGGCAGTCAACACGTAATAAAAGAAAGGACGGTTGCGGCAGGATAGCAACTTTAATATACAAAGATGCAGTGAAAATTTTCAGTGTGGGCAGATAGGACTGTTTCCAGGAATACATACTTGCTTCCAAGACTGATTTTTATGGATCTGCTTCTCTGGAAGGTGTTTGCTTATCAGTTTCGCAGCCTGATTTAATCTGGACTGTTTAAAAAAAATAAAAGAACAAAGAAAAAGAAAGTATCCAGGGCCAAGGAGTCTGGATTAGCAGCCCAACGATTAATCGGTCTTTGAGCAGCGAGGCTTGTTATGAACACACTTGTAATTCACCTTACCACGTGTTCGTCCGTAAAAGACAGCAGTGCTGCATCACAGAGATTTGAGGGAAGAATCTAATTTCCTTGTCCTATTTTAAGAATCTTTCTAATACTTTGCACATTAGTCAATTCCTGGCCAGAGTGGCAATTTCCCGATGATATTAAAGGAGACAGAATTGCAATGTTTACTTCCTGAAAATTCAGCTTGAATTTAAGCTCAGCTGAAATGAAGATGATGCTTGCCACAGCACCCCAGCCCTGGTGACTGGTGACTAGAGCATCTGTCACACGACAGGGTAAAAGTCTTTTTCTCCATGGTTTTGTCTAGGATGTACCTCTTTGTTTGTCCTGGTAGTCCAGAATCACTGTCAGTACAGGATTCTGTCTTCTAACATGAGAGTTTTTGGTGGCAGTGGCTATGTCACACTATGTTTTGAGAGTTTCTGTCATATTAAATGGAAAAATTACTGTCATCACCAGATGGTTCTTGTTCCAGACACTGTACGTACTGTGAAACCGCAATCAGACGTGGAATTTCAGGTTGCAAAATTATGTCCAGATTACATCAAGCACCATTCCCATATTCTCTAGCAATGGACGTTGTGATGACAGAACGTCTCTCCAGCCATGAGTTTATGGATTTGATATCTTCCTCTCTGGGAGGTTAAGCGCAGGCTCCTAGTCTGAGTTGCTTCTGTTTTCTGTTGTCTTATTACTTATTTTTCCAGGTGGTGTATAAGTTTGCACAAGTTTTAATGTAGCTGATCATCGGAACGCTAGCCTGGCTAAGACAGTTTTTATTTTCAGGTCATTTTCATGTTTCCCAAAGTTAGATTTGCCTGTGTTCTGAGTACATCTGTATTTCTTCCGTTATAAAGATGCTGACACGTATGAAGAATAGTTTTGGCCAAACTACCTGACCATGAGGCAGATGCTCAGCAGGGTGCAACGGAGGGTGCCCCGTGCGGTGTCTGCGCTAGCCATTACAAACCGCCAGTGACACTGAAACCCAATTACGAGTTCTAAAGCTCAGGCAAGGTTCGGTCAATGACTTTGTGAACCTTAAGCCACTTGTAGAAAACAGTTAATCACGTCTCAGTTGACAGCGCGGACATTCGAGCCCTGATTAAATTTCACCTACGCTGGATCCTTCACTTGGACCCTGCGCTGCTAACAGGCCACTGCTTGAACTCCTGAAATGTTGGTTCTGCCCTAGTATTTCCTTTTTAAGGAGCTGGTGTTTTAGAAAGAAGAGTCTGAGCCATGAAGGCCGATCCTTTATGTTCCTTCTTATATTCGGATAAAATCTTGTGGTTAAAACCTCACCTTGTGATGAAGACATGTAGAAAGCTGTTGTTCTTTCCGAAGCTTTTGTGCCTCTATAACAAAGGATCCTGCTACGTTTTCCACAGAAAGTGCTTTTGGATTTCCATCTCGGAGTAAGCTGTTGCAGGCACCTGTGCCAGTGTTTATAGTCACATTCAAAACAATGTTCGACACAGCTGTCCTGCAGGCAGGGTGTTTTGCCAGAGTCAGAGAATGCCTCCAGACAAGTGACGTGCTCCTTTGGAGCTGCACGTTGTGCAGAGTTCATTTGGCAAGAACTCAAAACAATTTTTCTACATTTTTGTCTTGGGCATCCTTGTGAGTCTGCAAACGGGAACAGAACGTATATTGGGAAATGAACACTGTTCGTGGCTGTGAGCGTAGGTGCATTTCTGCTCTGTAGCTGCTGCCAAAGTAAAGCTTTTGAAGTTGTGCAAGATGTGTGTGCGCTCTTGTGAAGGGTTCCGGTTGCTCGCAGAACTCCACTCCCAACAGATTTGGCTGAAAACCATGCTTGTATTTATTTACATGCTCGATTATTAAACCTTGAAATGTTTTCTTTTTAAGACCTTTGCTCTAAATTTCTGAGGAATTCTAAGGTAATGAAATTAAAGGTTCAGAATGAATGCTTTGTTTTTCGTTCGCTAAAGTCAACGGAAAGGGAATAAAAGTGCATTAAGTGAATATTTAAGTTGAGCGCTTAAGCTTTAGGAATGTTACAAAATGCTTTTGGGATCCCAGTTAAACCATCAGCACCCTGCGCGCCTCTCATGCCCCTACCCTGTATTCCACAGTGTATACATCTGGAAGGTACATACACCTGCCTACCTACTGATAGCAAAGATGTAGAATGCTTTTACTATAGAACACTTCCTTGAGTTAAGTAGAAGTGATTTTAGTGACTTTTGATTTATGCAAGCATTTCTTATTCTTTAAATTTGCCACGTCAGGATGGTCTTCTAGGTGGTAAAATGAATATAGAGCTTCTTACTTTTTTGAGAGTTTCAGTACTAGTCTCGGACTTCTGTCCTTTATTCCATTTTCCAGCTTCAAATCGTGTTGCTCTCTGCCTTCTAGGCTTCAATTTCCAGATCAGTCCCTATGCCACTGTCAAACATTTCAGTGCCAAAATCAACTGTTTCACGTGTGCCATGTAATGTAGAAGGAATAAGCCCTGAACTGGAAAAAGTATTCATTAAGGAGAACAGCGGAAAAGAAGAAGTATCCAAGGTAAGCTTATAGTAAGATGTTTATGATTTTTTTTTTTCTTTGCAATCTATAAAGACGAGGGAAACCTCCCTTGTGAGAAACTTTGCCTTGTGGTTGAAATTACAAATAATTTTCTTCAAAGAACTGCTTGTTTGAAAATTTTGTTTTAGTGTTTTAGGGTGGCGTTTGTTTGATTTTAAAGGGCTTCTGGCTAAGCATCCTGTGTTCAGAATGCTCTTTCTGCAGAGAACTTTAAAGGTTTTGTGCAAAAGGCAAGTACTTGAAAATGTCGGTACTTCAGGCTACATTAATAATTAGAGACCAGGAGACTGATTAATTTGCTTCCTTTTGCATTCTTTTTCTTAGGCAAGGCTTAAGTTTCCTGTGCTGTGCCTAGTTTTTTCAGTTTTCAATAAATTGAACGTGGGCTGCTTTATTTCCATGAAACCTCTGTGATCTGCTGTGGGAGATCACAGAATAGAAAATATTGTCCAACGGGGCAGCTTTGCTTCTATGGGAGAACTGGAATTGTCTCTGGGGAGCACTGGGGTGCTTAGATGACACTGGAAATGAGAAACATGGTTTGAAATGTGAAGCATTGCTTTTACAGCCATTGTTTCCTAAATAGCCAATGGAAAGTTTTTTGCTGTGGAATAAACTACTAGATTTTTCTAATCTTCTCTAAGATACAGGCTCTTTGCTTGTGAGTGGTCACGTAACAGCAATTCAGTGTACAAGTCAAGCTATAAAATTTTCATCGGGGCTTTAAGATTCCCAAACCTGATATTTGTAGTTTTTCATTTCAGCAGTAAACTTAAGTTTTGGAATAGTCTTGGCTCCTCCAGAGAGCTGGTTGTGCAGACAAAGGGGTCTTAAGAATGAAATACCGTAGTAGTAGAAGCTTTATGTTAAGTTTGCTTTCCTAAGGCCCTTCTCAGCCCTTTGGAAGGGTTGTGTGTTGTAACAGGGGAGTAAGAGGAAAAACACAAACCAAAACCGAAAGCCCAGATCACTAAACCTTATTGCACCATCTCCCGGAGAGTACAGAAGGGTGCGTGTTACTGTGCCGCCGTTGGCGTTGCCATGGCTGGGGTGGTAATCTCCTATGGTTGGAGGACATTTCATTTATTTATCAGACAAATCATCTTTGTAAATGTTGTCCCTGGGTTTTAACAGCTTATTACTTAGGATGCAGAAGTCAGTCTCCTAAGTTACTGAATGTACTGGCTCCGGTCCAGCGCAGCGGGTCAGCACATCCTTAAGTGCGTGGTTGGCCCGGGGCCAGGGGTGCTCAGCACTTTATGCAGCCAAGGCAATAGTGAACCCTTCCTCCAAACATCCATCTGGGGAGAGCCCTCAGACACAAAAGAAAGTCATAAATTAGACCTTGCCCTTGAAGTCAAGCCCATCTTTGTGGGCAGAGGGTTATTTCCTGCTACGTAAGCGGTAATTTCTGTGAAGTCCTATCTAGTGGGACCTAAAGAGGGACTCCGAGGTCTTTGAGCTTACGAGATCTCACGGCTTACTCCTGGAAGATCATAACAAGAGCAATTTACTCAATCTTGCTGCTGGTGAACTTTCTCCCAATCCAACAGTTGAGCTTCTCTTCAGCCTGGGGGAGTTGGGGTGGCTGGGTTAAAAGTTAGGAATTACTGCACAAAAGCTAAACCCTAGGAAACCAAACGTCATTAGTTTCACTCTTAGTGAAACAATCTGTTTTTCTTTCAGTTTTCTGCCGTTCTTTCTCGTTCTGTATTTTTGAGAAAGTATATTAAAACAGCAGTCGAAGGTAGCGGGTTGCTTGGGGTGATGTCTGAAGAATTAGTTGTTCCGCGGGCTCGCTTGTGAGGTTGGTGTGCATCGAGATTTTCAGCTCTTTCCTTTTAACCTGTTTCCACATTTGCTTTCCACTTTTAGCAGTGCACATTCAAACCTTGAATTTCATGGGAATCAACCTATCCCACTGCACAAAGCACTTTGGGCTGTATTGTGAATCCCTACTCGTTTCCCAGGAAAGATTTGGGGAACAAACACAACCTGCTAAAAATGCTGAGAAGGAAAATTTCCTTTTTTTTAGGTGCAGCTCACTGCCTAATTATTTTTTTTTCATTTTTCTTTTTCAAGTTAAGGTACTACATTAGTAGCTTTTGAGTCTCTTCCATCTCAGTGTTCGGCTTTTCTCTGGTGAAATAAAATTCATTTTAGTTCTGTTAACTTTTAAAATTTCAGTTTAATGTTCCTGATTGTTTTTCTTTTGGTCTCCAGTATAAGCTTGTGGTTGTTTCTTTTGTTGTTGTTTTAACAAACTGTTGCTTAGTTCTTGAAGTCTGAAATCAGCCTAGGTGATACATAGGGTAAAACTAAGCTTAAGGCTAAAGCGGTTTTATGGTTATCACTTGAATTACTTTTTTATTTAGAGCCCAGTTAAAATGGGTAACGAGGGAAACTTTTCTAACAGTTTCATACTTCTTTGCTTCATCTTCAGATACACAAGTCAGTTTATTTTTTTTAGACTTTTTTGGTTTTGCAGGGTATGATGTTGCACGCTTTCTGCTTTCCCTTCTGCTGACTTGAATTTTTTTAATTCTACTTTAAAAGTGCGTACGTTGATTTGGAACGTGGCCTCTGTTTTCTCTCACGCCGACTTAGTTACACTGGTTCTTTGAAACGCTCTTCTGTTAAAAAATAATATTTTACTGATAGCAGAAAATGTACCTACAAATGTACAGTTACTTTAAAAAGGAAAAATAATCGCTGTAGACATTAATCTTGTTATTTTAGTGTTTCACAAAGGTAGCTGATGATGCAGTGATGCCGTTATGTCATTACCTTTCAATAATCGAATTGCCCGTACAGTTCAGAGGGATTGCATTGTAAGTGGTCACAACATTCCAGATATTTTGTTCTTTTCAGTTTAGCCTTGTGTGTGTATATGTTTTTCAGATCGTTCATCTCGCTTTCTTAGCTGACAGTATTCTCTCCTTTCGTAACACCCAGTTAAAGTTGACTTTTTAAAGTCACTTCTTAATCACCTCTCTTCCTCCTGGGATTTAGTAACAAACTTTTATTTTCCATGCATTTATTCAAAGGTCCTGGCTATATTTTTTCATTCCTGTTTTAGAACTGGTCGACCACCTTTCCAGGAAATTGTGACGGTGTGTCCCACCGTAACTTGTAGGAGGGGAATCAGCTTTTTGTGAAGTTGTGACGAACTTTTGTTCTTTGCCCTGTAGTGACTCCCCAACACGAACGTTGGGGACTTTGGTGCAACGTGACGGTGGAATTACTGTAGGGAGCTGAGGGGTAAGAGCTTCCCTCTTCGAGAATCGTTGGGAGAATGACGAAGAGAGCCCTGCAGCAGGGCGTGGACGTGTTCATAAGGCTCCTGTCAGGGAAAAAATATTGCCAGAACTACCTTTGAGGCGTACAGATCTAATTAGAAATGAGTCAGGTTTTATGGACTATCGCACAATGTAGGTAAAATGCTTAATGTGGTTTTTTGTTTGATTTCTAATGCTCTTGGAAACGGATAGCAAGGTGGGTTTGTGTACCTATCAGAAAACTTAATTCTGTAATAAAAGGCCTTATTCTAATTTGCATTCATGCAGATCCTTACTTAAATCTTTACTCTTGGGGGGGGAAAAACAAAGAAACCAAACCAAAACCAACCAACTGAACCTAAAAAACAAAACCCAAGCAACAAAAATTACCCCACAGTATATAGAATGCAGTAATTTCTAGCTGGTTTCCATGCATTGAGCGTTATGAAAACTTAATAGCAGCTGTACCAAATTAGTTACCCTATTTCTCATGCTCTAAGGTTGTGAGGACTTCGGTTTTTAAAATAGTTTAGGCATGAGTCACGGAAAGTAACTTGCAGAGTATTTTTTTATGTTGATCAGGTTCAATGCATAAAGTTTTTAAAAAGTGGAATCCTTTTTATTTGATACTTTCAGGAAGCTTTTTGCACTTGTCAAAACTTGGATTCAGTATTGCGGGAAAGATAAATACAGAAGCACAGTTATCTGAAATGCTCGCAGGCTTTTTCGATGCCTTAAAGTTATTTGACTTGGAAAGAGCGATAAATATTTACTCGCGTGTATACTTTGGGGCATGTCTAAAAATACGGATAATTTCTTGTACCTCGGATTTGACTTCAGTGGGGGTTGAAATACGTGATTCGGGATATAATTCCTGACTACATAAGACTGTGTTGTTCCTCTCGGTGTGGAAGAACATCTGTGTCGTCCTGAAGTCTTTAATTATGTGATCCCTTCCTGCTTTTTCCCCTCCCTGGAATCCTTGCTTTACCTGTTACGTAGAGCATGGTACATGTGCTTAAGGAGCAGCTGTTGGATGGTTTTGTTGTCTTCTCATGAGATATGTGGCCTGATTCTCACTATTACACCTTGCTTTGAAGTCAGAAATCTGGATTCCTTCCCGGGGTTTTACTTCTGTCATAATAGGAGAGTGTCTGAAATTTTGTTCTCTGTTTTTTGGTTTTTTTTTATCACACCTGTGCGAGAAGAAAGATGGTGTTATTTGCGCTTTAGGGATGGAGAAGCACAAAGCCATCAGGCTTCAGTGAGGTGGTTTTTCAGGTCTCTCGGGGTACGGCGTTTGAACTGCAGCTCCCATAGACTCCTTCTGCTTCTGAGAATGTTGAAAGACTTGTGCAGGTCACTCCTGTATAGACTGGGCATCCAGAAAAGATGCCATCCAGAAGGAGAGGCTGGTTCAGGTGACCTCTTGGCATCTCGTAGAATTTTTGTGGCAGAGGTGGAACCAAAAAACTCCCAATTTTCATGGTTACGTTAATTACGAGACTGTTTTTTCTTTTTCTGCCTCTCTCCTGCACGCGTAGCAAATGCTAAAACGCCACAGGTCTGTCTTGTGCCCCGAATGAGTCACGGGGTGATGGAAACAGCAACGCGTAGTCGTGTTGTAACCCATGTGCAACGTGAGCCGAGCTGTTGGAACACACCACGCAGCTGTGTCCAAACTTTTCGGCGCGTAGCAACTGTAACGTACTCTTCAGAAGTGTGTGTCCGTGCTCTTCATGGCAACGTGCAGTGGTACGGACTGGAAGGCTCATAAGGGAAAAGGACCTTCCTGCTGTGTCTCTTTCTTTGTGTAATTCGTGGGGGTATTCAGGATAGAAAAGGGGGGAATGTGATACGTGGGCAAGAGGTTTCATGTCCTCATTGCTAGGAAAAGCGTTGGGTTGAATTTTAGGCTTGGGAACAAGCTATTACAGTTTTGAAATACATAGGGAAGAGGGAAACTGTAAAATAAAAAGGTTCACTTGAAGTGAGAAGGAAAAAGACATTAATTCTTCGTAGCTAGAAGTTTAGGCTGTTTCCTACTTTCTTATTATCCTCGCTGAAGCAAGGATACAAATTCTGTTTATGTGTTGTGGTTTTTCCCCTTCACCTCTCAACAAAACCATAGTTCTCACTTGACTTTTTACATTTAAAGCCTTTATGCTAAGGCTGATTTTCCACTGGGAAGTGCGACTAAGTAGAGTGCGCGGACCTGCTGCTGTGAACACGACCATGCAGAATGGGATGCAGGATCAGCCCGGCCAGCGCCAACCAGGCGGACAGGAGCAGGCAGTGCTTGTAGCTTTGGTTCAAGGCAAAGCTTGGGAACCTCGCGTGAGCTTGTGCATCATCAGCCTCCTCGTTATTTTGTCAGGGGTCGCCTGCAGAAGCGAAGGACGAATTGGAGACGTGTGCTGGGGCACTTGCTAGCAAAACTGAAGATGGTTTCATTTGCAGTTGTGGTTGGTGTTTATCTCCCAAATGTGGTATCTCTCAGGGTACTTGTGTTTCTTTCACAATTAACGTACGTGGTGTCCGTCGTACATGACGGTCCTTCCTCGCGTGAAAGTTTTTCTTCCGCGACAGCTTGCGTGCTGTTCGGGAGGCTTTGTCCCATCGCTTCAGCTCCGAGTGCCGGGGGAGTTGGATCTTTTCTCTCTAACCTGACCCGCTTGTTTCTCTTGCAGCCTTTGGATATCCCTGACGGCCGAAGGGCCCCGTTACCTGCTCACTATCGTAGTAGTAGCACGCGAAGCATCGACACGCAGACTCCGTCTGTCCAGGAGCGCAGCAGCAGCTGCAGCAGCCACTCACCGTGTGTCTCTCCCTTTTGCCCTCCTGAATCTCAGGACGGGAGTCCTTGCTCGACAGAAGATTTACTCTATGACCGTGACAAAGGTGAGAGTAGAATGGCCCGCCTTTCCCTATGGGAGGCATGTGGTGTCCTGCTTTTACAACTACCTTCATTTTACTCATTACATCAGTTTTTGTTTTTGTTGCTGGCTGTGGAGGGATTGAGGATTTACCTTAAAATTGGTTTCGTTTGTTTACATATCTTTTTCCCTCTTGTTTGTGAAACTTCACAAACATCTTCCATAAATATGTCAGAGGAGCACAGCAAACAGTCTTATTAACTCTTTATGAAGACTCTGATGTGAAGAATTCAGACTGTAACATGTTGGTGTTTCGAAAAGGTTTTGAGCAGGTTTGTGGTAGACTGTGCATTCGTCATGGGTGAGTTATTTGCTGACCAAAATGGCAATGGTGAAGTTTTGGACTGCTTTTAAAAGTATTCTGCTTCTGAACTCTCACATTCCACTTGAAGCTATTTGGTGAGGAGCTCAGATACGAGTTTGAACAGTCTGACGGAGAGTAATTTTTTGTCTGTGTGTGTTGCATAACAACCTACGATTTCTGAATAATTCATGTGTTTATATGTCAATAGCCTGCTTTTTTTGGTTGTTGTTTTTCAAAGCCTGTAGAACGTCGTTTGGTTTTGTAGAGGGAATAATAAGCTGGAGTTTCAGTAATTAAGAATTGCTGACGGAACATGTAGTATTAAACTGTAGGCACTAGCATAAAAAGATTGTTTTGGACAACTGTTTACTAATGAAATTATTCTTGGGCTTCTGGTCAGCTAGCAGGAAACAGGGACCTGCGCTTGGAGGGGTGCAGGGTCTGGGTAAAACATACGAGCTGAGAGTAATAAGTTTCACAGAGGAAATGAAACCTTTTAAGATTCAACGTAGATTTGCTGACGAGCTGAAGACAGCGGTATTTCGAGGTCAATGTTTTTCTTTAAATATTCTCTGTTTAATAGTTCTCGAAGTAATTTGGGAATAAGATTGAGGAAGGCAGTGGGAGAAATAAGAGCTTTTTCTGGTTTCTGTAGAGTATTGCTTTCCCATCTTGGGTTTAAGAAGTAGTAGAAAACAAATCCACCTGCCCAAACCCTGAATTGGGCAAGGAAATCAAAAGAATAATTCCTTTTGCAGTTGGTTAGCACCAGTAATTGGAGTTTCCAGTGGTACTTTGTTGGCAGCAGCGGGAGAAGACGGTCTGAAATAGCGTGCTTAATGCTTTTCAAAGGGTTTTATCTCCTCTCTTGGATTTTTTTGAGTGCTAACAAGGGCAAAATTTGTGGCTGTACTTCACAGTGAGTGGCTGTTTGTGGGTTTTGGTTTTAAGACTGGCTTTAATGCTAGGTTTGTATCAAAATCTGCTTTAGTAGTAGTGTGTAGATGATGGTGATAAACAGCCAGCTTTGTGAAGTTAATATAATTGCATTTTTAAATTAGTTTAAGGTACTGTCCTTATGAAAGACAGAAGATTAAACTGTTCATCACAGCTTTGTGATGTGGAGGAAGGAGAAGCTAGAAACTAGAAACTTTAAGGAGAAGAAACTAGAAAAATGTGTAAGAGAAAGTAATTTCTTCAGAGGTTGTAAAAGTGTAGTCAAATAGGTGCCTGAGAGTAAAATCTCAGATCCTGTAAGGTCCCACAAGCCAGTTTGTTCTGAGGAAGAGTATCTTCAAAATAGTTACATTATAAAAAAATGAGGGACACAGGTAGAAATCATAAAGGAACGGCGAGTTATGAGAGAGTTTATGAGCATCTGTTGTGGATGTTAACCGCTTTATAAAACAAAACTCACAAAGTTTGTTTCATACCTTCATTTTAAAGGTTTTTATGATACTAAAATAAAACTATCGGTGATTTTGCTGCGAGGCCCGTTCAGTTTTTGAAAAATGCATCGTGTAACCATACGTCAGGTATTTGAAACCTGAGAAACCTGTTACTTTTCTCCAGTCGAGGTTTTATTTTGCTCTCTGTGGGAATAACTTGGCCTTACCATTAAAAATACAATTATCGGCCTTCTGAATGCTCCTGAGTGTGTTGCTGAATAGGGAAGGAAGTTGGGTCATTTGCCTGAGAGACATGAGGGGTGCGAGAAGCCAACAGCTCAGACACAGCGCTGCTTTACATTTCTAAAGCATCTTGGATTTCTTGTGCAAAGCTGTGCCTTGGCCCGAGGCCCTCACAGCTGCTCTTTGGACCGTATCAGCTGTTTGGTTTACATTTCTGCGAGGAGCTGCTAAATATATTGAATTTTGCAAAAAGAAAAAGCGAGCTAAGATGTGCAGAGAAGACCCACAACCTTGCTGCAAAGGGAGCAGAGAGGGAGGGGTGGGAGAGAAGGTGTTTCAGTGGCACCTGGCTTTGTGATTTTGTTTTCAAATACCAGCCTGTTGCAAGGTAAGTGACCACCTCGCTGCATGAAAGCCGCTGGTTTCACTAGTTCCATTTCGTGATACTCTGCTCTATAATTCAGAGGGCTGCAGACCATGCTTAGCAGCTGTGACAGAGGTAAGGTTCAAAGACAGTCATAGAATCATAGAATTATTCCTAAGATATAAGCAGATGGAATTTAGTTTTTTGGGGTTTTTTGTTGTTTTTTTTTTCTACAAGAATAGATAGTATAACCTGTATTTTCAAGGCTTTTGATTTAAGTGATTTTGTATAGCATCGTGTATTCCCAGGGTTGCCACCAGGCTGTTCAAAACAACACGTTCGTGAAGACGAAATGAAGATACTTTTTAACTTGTGGGCATTTGCTCCATAGTTTTTAAAATGAAAATGGTGCAGGAAGTCTTTGGATAGAAGCAGAGTTGTTTCTGAACATATCACAGCAAATCCTTTTTGAACATATCTCAACAAATCCCGAGGCTCGCTGGCAAAGTTTCTTGTTTCCTTTAAGCTTTGTCATTTGAAAAAATTGTTTTACAGATTCTTTTTTAGTTTGCCTTCTTTGTTGTTTTAGTTTATGCAAGCTAAAATTTGTGGTATTAAGTCTTCTGGTTAAAATAGTCTTTTTCATGTTGAATTACAATCTTAAACATTTTCTGGGTAACAGAATATATCCATGTTGAACATATATATGTTTAGAAATCCTCTGTAAGAAGGCTCCGTATTGTCTGCTCTGTGGTTATGGTAACAAAACTCAACTTGAAAGGTTACATCTGTTAATTTTCAATCATTGTCATCTTAATGAAATCCGATGAGTTGGCTGAAAGACGCCAGCAGAGCACACCCTTCTGGTGGAAGCCTGGAAGATGCAGACGTGTCCTCTGATGGGAAGGCTCCTGCCTCGCAACAACCCCTGAGACACTAGAAAAATACATTTGCAGTGGCATTAAGGATTAATAATGTGACCGTTTAGCACGTGAGGGTTTACAACATAGACCAGTGGAGACTGGCTTCAGCCATAAATTCCACCTCTTACCCCGTTTAACTCGTGGGCCGCTCTCCGTGTGCCATCCATCGTTGCATGGGAGCCTCCCGAAAACCAGAGGTGCTTTTCAGACAGTACCGTGGGGTGTGTTTGGTCCAAAAGAAAAGCCAACAATTTAGTGTGCTTGAAAAGCAGGGAGGAGAGAATCAGAATGGCTAAGTCGCACAATATAGTTGGGGTTTTTATGTTTTTTATTTTTTTTTATGGGTTTAACAGCTGTCGGATGTAGAATGTTTCAGCCAGACGGGGCTAAATAAACCGAAAACTTGATTGAAAGCTGAACTGGCTAGACAAGACTCTAAATCTTCCAAGAACTGACTTTAACTTTGAATTCAGTTCGAGTCTTTCCTTGGATGTACTTGCACAGTTTTCCGCTATTTGACGGAGTGAACAGTAGCACGTTTTATGTCTCAAATTTTTTAAATAGAAACTTGGATCTTCAATTTTTAAATATTAGAAGGAGGAAACAAACTGTCTGGGCTCTGTTAATGATTTCTGTGTTTGGAATGAGCTCTGTGGGCCAACAGTGGAAAGATGCCAACAGGACCATCATGCTCCCAGCTTGGCAAGTATCTGTATTGTCTCTAAGCTTTTTCTGCCTCCATACAGTTAACACTTAATATTCTGCAAATAGAAGTTCTGTGTTCGCTTTACAGCAGGAAAAAGCTGAATAATCAATACACTGCTGAGGTTCACTTCCGCTGTTGGTTGGGTTTTCTTTTTTCCCCCTCGTATTTTTCATAGTTAATCTAAGGGAAAAGTGACGTTTGAGTCGATTTGTGCCTCGTTGTAAGAGGAAGTAAAGATGTTTCAAAGCCTGTATTAATGAGCCTTTGTCTTTGAGTTGTGGATGTACAAAGTTCATGTAGTTACAGTTTGCACGCTGTTAAAGACAACCTTGTATGCTCCGGGGATTCTAGATCCTAGAGCTTGGATCTTCGGTTGGTTTCCCACTGTTGCTGAAAAGGCGCACGTGGGCACCTTTTAAAAATGGTCAGATACCCCACAGTGGTGGAAAGGCGCAAAAAGAGCTAAAGCAAGAGCAGTTATTTCTCTCCAGATCAGGTGTGTTTGTAAGTTGGGGGGGGGTCTTCTTTCGTTTTATTAATTGTTAGCCCAAGCAGAGAGAATAGGGAGCCACCGATACTACCCTGAGACAGATGTTGCTCTTTGAAAAGGTAGAGGCCGCCGCAGAAAGCTAATTTTCTGCGAGTAATTATTTGTGTACCTACTTTATATCCGTAACTCCTTGACTATCACGTTGTCGAGATACCCGTTTAAAGTGAACCCTTCGATAGTCTCAATTTTTCAAACGTCTGTGCTTCCGTCGTTACTAAAGTAGAGCCTCCTCTCTGTGAAGTACAAAGAAATTTGCTTATTGCCTTGTGTCCTGGATCTTCTCCCCATTAATTCTAAGTGCAGACAGCTAGAGGTACAAAGAGTACCCGTAGCGCAGAGTTAGTAGTGGTGAAAAAATTGAATGGCGGAGTTTTTATTTTGGATACTAAAGCACCTCCGCGACTGGGAAGCAAGTAAGGTGGGACATCGTCATGGGGAGGTGTCGGTACCTGTGTTACGAATGTGCTTTGTTTCTTTGCAACCTCTGCGCTATTCGTGAGACTGAGTGAAGAATTTCGGTGAAAAATGATGTTTTAAAGTAAGGCGCATGCCAGAACATACACACGTTTTCACTAGCTGTGTTTATACAGTGCGAAGGCGTATTATCATTACCGCTCCTGATACTTCTGCATGTGTTTTACGTATTGCCTTGCTCGTTTGTGTTTTGTCGAAATACATAATAAAGAACGTATTTGTTTCCAGGATCTCAGCTCTGCTTTGTTCCGATCGCAGTGTTCTGGGTAAAAATACCCTCCTGTGTGTTGTTATGTGATAGATCACTGCTGCGATGAAGCTTTTATTCCGCAGAAATGTGCTTTGCAGGGGTGTTAGAAATAGCCTGCGATAAAGGAAGCGTTGTGGTAGAAGCAAACCGGCGTAGTGGCTAAACTGTGGAAAAAAAAAAAGGCATCTTGTTTGGAAATCGAATTTAATTCACAAGCACTCTCAATCTCTAGTAATATAACTGCTTTAAATTTTCAGACAGTGGGAGTAGCTCACCGTTGCCCAAGTATGCCTCATCTCCCAAACCAAACAACAGCTACATGTTCAAACGAGAGCCCCCAGAGGGATGTGAGCGAGTGAAGGTCTTTGAGGAAATGTCGTAAGTAATGCCTTTTATATCAGCTGGTATCTGCAACGCAGTAAACCTGTTTACTGAGCCGATTCAACTGCAGATGAATAAACTATCCCAGCTGATGAGGTTTTTCAGGAGCACACACTATTCTTAGAGTTTGTACAGAAGAGAAGTCGAAGTGTTCGCGCTGCTTTGAAGAGGAAATGGAGTCTTTTATGCTTGAACTCTTTTTGTGCGTTTATAAAAGGCAACAAAAATCCGAGCAGAACAGATGAGGTACATTGAATTCCCGAAGCATTTATAAACCTCTTTCCATGTATTTTTTTTTAAACTTTTTAAATATCCATGGCTCAAAACCAAAACTCTTGTCGTAATTTTTTCTCGCTTTCAAGCATAGGTTACTTTTTGATTTGTATAAAACATCTAAAATGGAATGAAACCTGTGTAAACGTTTTGTGGACGGTAGTATGCTCATGGCATAGACTTTGCTCCATATTTTTGCTGAGCAAGAAATCAGAAATTAAACTCTTGGACATCCTGTGTTTCTCCCCTAGACCCAGCAGTACTGGAGCACATGCTGTCGAGGTTGCATGAGAGAATTAAGGGAGCGGAGGTTTCTCGCTCTGACAGCATTCCCTGCCTGCTGGATGGGGAAGGAGCAATGTTGGGTTGTGGAGGAAGCCCCCAGACAAATCACAGAATATGGGAGAGGAGGGGACTGTCTCATGGAGATTCTCAAAGGGATTTAACCTCACTAGACGTGTTGTCGCTGCCTTGTTTTTATTAAAGGAGAATTCGTGCTATTCTAAATTTACCGCGGCATTTTTTTTTTCCACGTGCATCCGCGCTGCCGACTTTTTCCTGGCTGGAAGTTGCATGTTTATCCAGTAATCACGAAGTCATTTTGGTGACGGTGCTCTTTTCCGTGCTGTGGATCAGTTAGCTGACTGCCAATATGGAAGATGTTTGCCCCTCTGTCCGATTAATCCCATTCCTCGTCATTCGCATTTTAGCAACGTGTAGAACCACAAAAAGCTCACGATGTATGAAACGCCTCGGTTGGCCGCGTACGTAATCTTGTTTCTCGTTGTAGGTCTCGGCAGCCTGTCTCAGCCCCTCTCTTTTCATGCCCTGACAAAAACAAGGTTAATTTCATCCCAACCGGATCAGCTTTCTGTCCTGTAAAACTCCTGGGCCCCCTCCTTCCTGCTTCAGACCTGACGCTCAAGAACTCTCCAAACTCTGGGCAAAGCGCAGCTCTGAGCACCCTGACTGTCGAGCAGCTTTCGTCTCGGGTCTCTTTCTCATCTCTGTCAGACGACACCAGCACAACGGACTCCGCCGAGGTCCCGCTCCAGCAGCCGTCCGCGCCGCTCTTGCAAGAAATTCAGACTGAAGAGCATTCCTCTCCTCAGAGCTACGTGTTCATCTAGACCCAGGCGGAGCAGGTCTCTGCCCTGAAACAAGGATCGAGGAGATCACGGTTCCGAAACGTCCGCGTGAGGTGGCAACATGGAATAATTAGCAGCATTCAGAAAAAAAAATAAATATCTCAACACTGTTCTTGGCAGGGACGGGACTCGTAGTCAGCATTTTTTGTGAGAAAGCGGTGATGCCTGCAGAATCCACACATCATTAAGCGTTTTAAGTGGAGACTATGCATTTCATAGTATGTTTGACCAGATTAGTACTGTGTCCTGTGTTCTGTTTCAAATTCTACAGTATAAATAAGCTCTATATATATAAAAGAAAAAAAAAGGTTGCCTGTCTGAATAGAAAATGTCTTGCTGTGTTGTGTCCTATGGAAAATACTGTACTTCAGGATTATGTTTACAATTGATCCAGGTGTTTATGTTTCTAACTTCTGTTAATACACACAATGCAAAAAAAAAAAAAAAGAAAAGAAAAGAAAAAAAGAAAAAAAAAAATGGCCACAACAGTTGCACAGTGCCCACCCTATGGCCTAGCTTCAGGTACTTCTCTCGAAGTGTAAACTCAGGTAACTTGGAATGTATATCATATTGGGATATAAAATATTTTACAGCTACAAAGCTAAAGAGGGAACATCACTCTTTTGCCTTTCCTTATTTTATGCATTAATATTTCCTCATTACATTCCGCTTTCTTGGAATAAGTGCATTCATCTCCGGGCGAACGACGAGCCTGGACGTGGGTGAACGTGAGGAGAACCAGCAGATCTGTGATGTTTTATCACTCGGTCCTACGCTTACAAGTGAAACAACTGTTGCATTTACTGTCATTTCAATATGTGTAAAAAAAAAATGTGGCATTTAAAGGTTTCAGGTGTCGCTCCGTTAATGACTGTTAAACTCGCAAATAAAGTGTTCAGTGCTAGGCTGTACATGAGAAACATTCCACGTTGTGTGTGAGAGGGTTTTGAAAGACAAGAATGTTTTTGTTCAAGGACAGAAACTCTTTCAGGTTCCACAGGGGGTGGATGGGGATTTCCTCTCCTGTTTTTGTTGGCAGTTCAGGATGTGAAATGCTACTGTTACCGTCTGAAAGTCAAATTAATGTTTAGTTTCTCTTTTGGAAATGTTCATTCATTTGCTGGTCGGAAAGAGGTTTTCGGGTTTTTGTCGAGCAGTGTTAGATGAGCAGCGTTTTATTTATGTAGCGAGTAATTGTGTTTGGATGAAAGTTCAAGAGTAGCCAGGGGGTGTTCTAAGAGGGGTGGGGAAAACAATAGTTTTTAAGTTCATGTTACTTAATCAAAGCTTCTCCCATAACTTTCAGTTCCTTAAGTTGTGTGTGTTAAAGTGTGTTTTCCTCCCTCCTGAAGTGTGAATAATAACAATAAAATCAAATCCTTGTGAAATAACGCTGGGTTTGCAGGCTGGACACTTTCTCAAGGCAGGACGTGGGTTAGCGGTGCTCTCGAGCCGTGCTGGGACGAGGGGAGCGCTGCTCCCGGACAGGATTCCCTGCGATTCAAAGAAGACCCCAAAGGCAAAATAAACCCGCTCAGTGGAACTGCGTTTGGGCTGTCTGCTCCTGAGAGAATAAGGGTCACCTTTTCCAGGAATTCAAGCGATCAGTAGCCTGCAGCTACGGAGCCCTTAATCTGTTTTTTCCCTCTTTTGAAGATGGGATTGGAGAGCGGGGGGTGAGAGTGAGCCACCAGTAACTACTCACTAAATCCTTTGGCGTTCAGGCGTTGTTTCGGTTTTATTACAGAGTTTGTGTTAATACTCTCGCACAAGGTGGGATTTGCAGCCTGTAAAACAGCCCCTGGTTTTGGACTCCCCGTGAAGGCAATGTAGGAGAGAGAGCTCTGCCTCTCGCCCTTCCCATGGGAAAACCCTTCCTGAACCCCAACAGCCATCTCTAACCCTACTGATCTCAGGCCTAGGTGAAAACACTATATATTTTATAGACTGAAGACAAAGGGGAGAAAATACTCGTGATGTAAGTATCGATTCCTTTTAATACTTTTCTTTCTAGGCGAACGTGGCAGCACGATGCCCTTTTTGTGCTCTGGTTATGTCCAGATAAGAAATCGTAGTCTCGGTTCTTGCTGTTAGGTGACGTGGGCACACAATGAGTGGGGTTTAGATCAGCGACGAACTCCGTACAATGTTTGCAATGCCATTGCCTGTTCTTTTTTATTATTATTTTTTTTTCCATGAGAAACTAAATATTAATTAAATTGCACATTTGTTCTTAGCAGATTTGAAGGTTTCGAACCAAACGTGTTCAAGCTAAGGCTTTGCCGTGTAAATTTCCCAGCGGTTGTTTATCTCAATTGTATTCTACATCCAGCTGTAGAAATTTGTCAAATATTGTTTAAAGTTTTGTACATAGTTGTACGGTTATTTCTAGCCACTGTGCTGAACAGTATTCAAGTTATCACACAATATTGCTTTACACAAGGAAATGTGTGGCTTTTGTTTTGTATTTTTTTTCGGTATAGAAGTTCCTGTGTCTTATTTAAATAAAAATTATAGTTAAAAAACCGCCCTTGTTCTTCTAGAGCAAGATTATCTCTTACCTATTGATATTTGCGCATCAGTGTTCTTGGATGGGGAAAAAAAAAATCTAAAACCAGCTGAATGCCTAAATAGGCTTAAGAATAGCATCTTTTCTTTTTGCATATAATGAGATTTTCTTCAGAGCATAGAAAAAAGTCAGTGGAGCATTGTGGGAGGCTGTGCTGCTGTGTTTGTGGTATGGCTAATTTCAAGTTATCTGCTGAAAATTACGAAAGCCATCAGATACGTTTCACTACGTGAAACCGAACTAAACCCTTAAAGGATGTGGTATAAATCTACAGCCAGCCTTGGTTTCATGTTGTTTTGTGTGAGTCAAGTGATTGTCATTTGGCTTTTAGAATAATTCTTTCCAGATGGGGGGTGAGGGGGAGGGAGGAGGAGAAGAGAATAATATTTAAATACATGTAAATCCTCCAAAGTCAGTGTTGACTGAAGGGCACTGCGGCAATAACCATCAAGAACGGTTTAATACTTATTATCAGTAAGTGGAAATGGAAGTTTTCACCAGCCCAAAGGTTACGGAGTTTCGATGTGACCGTGTTTGAAACTACAAACTGAAAGTTAACTTAAAGCCTGGAGTCTCCAAGGGGGTCTCATCCCACCCCGCTGTGAAAACGCTGGGTGCTCTTCGGGAAGAAACATCTTGGGGTTTGGCCGTTTGCTCGGGATTGCCGGGAAGAGCTTTGTGACCACCTTGGCCCCTAAATGGATTTGGCTGCAGCAGTTTCGGGCCGTCCTCACGTGGGAGGACATCTCTTTTCTCAAGAATTGCTTCGACAAAAGCGTGTGGCTCGCCCTGACGAGACGTGATGCGGTTTGCACGGCGCTGGCTTTTGCACCATCCCCGCGAACCGAGGCCTCGCCGGGCCGGGTACGGCTGCGGTACCGTGCCGCTTGCACTTCAGCGCCGCGTGGTTGGTGTAATTCTCAAAGCCAAGACGAGCAGCCCAAAAAGCGCTGCGCGAGGAGAGAGCTAGTGAGAGAATTCTGCCTCGTGTCCCTGCGTTGTGACTAAAAGATCTTCAACTTGTGTTTTCTAGCAATTCATGGCTCCAGAAATGGACTCTTCAGAGCCTGGAGGAGCCCTTGGCTACATACACCGTGGGTAGAGGGTTGTAGGAAGCAGGGTGCTGTCAGGGAAATGATTTATGGCTTCCTGATAAATCAGCTCTTGGCCTAAGGGTAGGCTCTACGATATTTTCACAGCGTTTAGCCGTAAGCCTGGGGTAATACAAAATAAACACCAGAAACCCAATAGATGAGCCACGTTGGCCAACATCGCAGTTGCAAACGAAGAGCACTGAGGCTTAGCAAACTTCCTCCTGGCCTTACTCCCTGGGAATGGATTTTGATGCCTTCATCTGCTACTCGACGTAAAATCCAAGCAGCTCGAAGATGACAGAAGACGTGGGGAGGTGCACGTCAGTTCCTGTTGTAAAACAGCCTGGCTTGCTTTACAAAACGTAGCCGTGCAAACGCAGATTTGAACCTTCGCAACCGGGAGGAAATCACAGCTCCTGCAATGTGTTTCCACAACCTACACGCAAAGAATCACAGAATCACAGAACGTTCGGGATTGGAAGGGACCTCTGAAGATCATCTAGTCCAACCTTCATCCCAGCACACCCAACCACTACACCACAGCCTCAAGTGCTAGATCTACTTTTTTTTAAACACCTCCAGGGTTGGTGACTCCACCACCTCCCTGGGCAGCCTGTTCCAGTGCCTCACCACTCGTTCAGGAAAGAACTTCCTCCGAATATCCAATCGAAACTTACCCTGACGCAACTTGAGGCCGTTTCCCCTCAAAGAAAAAGCGAGACGAGGGCAGCACACGCAGTACCGGGATGTACGCGTAGAGCCATTCACTGCTGGTGCTCGGCTGAAGGAAGTTGTTTCATCAAATACGCGGTTAAAATGTGTATTTTTTTTTTCTCTGCGTGAGTGTAACTGGTCCTGGAAAACTACCCAGTTCAGGAGGGACTGTAAAAGGCTGGGGAAAGCTCACGGAAGAGCTGGGGGTAGGAGTGAGGTACTGGAAAAAAACCTCACAGCAAGGTTGTGTTTCACTTGATGGGTGAGGAGTGACTTAATTCCGGTTAGTAAATGCCTACGTAGGAAATACTTGGTAACGAGCTACTCAAAAATGTAACACGTGAAATACTAAAGCGGTAAGAAAATCAAGCTACATGAAGCCACGCTAGAAATAAGACTTATTTTAGCACTAGCAGTAATTAGCTACTGGGCCAACTTTTTCAACTCCTGGTATGTTTAAAATGAGATGGTTTTACAAAGGATGTGCTCAGAGAAGATGTTTTTATAAACCTTACTAACTCATGGTTATTTGGGGGCTTTTTATGTTTGATTTGACTTTAAAGAGGTGGGTGTTTTAACTACCTTAGGCATTCTCACCTCACTAAAAATTCCCAGCATTCTGCAATATTTTTAACTAGGGAATTAATGCCTTTTTTTTTAAAAAAAAAGAACTGTCTGGAATAGCACTTTGAAGGTAATTCCCGGCTTCTGAAAATTTTTGGTTTGTGTCACACGTGAATGAAGTCTCCAGTAAAGCAGAGGTGGCTGCATGCGTAGCCTCGTAGTTGTTTTGATTTCTGTCACCTTCTCAATAAGCACCGTAATTCTGAAGAGAAGGCAAGAAACTGGAGAGTAGGCGGCGTCTTTCTGGAGCGCAGCGGGGTCACGGAAATAACGTGTCACTCAAGTCGGGCTGATAGGAAAATGCTGATCAAGAAGGGGGAGTGTTTCCTCAGCAAAAGGTCGCTTTGGAAGAGAGCAAACGTGCAAGTTAAACTGCAAATTCAACTGGCAAAAAGAATCGGGTGAAACTTGATATCGAGAGATTGACCCCTTTTATAAAGAACTCG